CACTTTGTAGGCATGAAGGTCCAAGATTGCCAGAAAACTGATAAAAGGAATTATTGGACCAGAAGTGAATTTGAAAGATAATATTTGGATATTTATATGTAGATTTATTCAACCACATAGGTGCCATTTTGCTCCATTATCTTTGAGGCAGTTTCAGGATTCCATCTTTCCAGGAATTGGCTAACCTTCTGAGTAATGAACTGTTATATGGGCCTTTTGGGATAAAAAAAAAAAATGGTAATGTATGATGAGTATGGTATGTGTAGCAGGACATCCTAACCAAGCCTGACTAATTTCTCTAGTGTCAGCAAGCCTGACCAATTTCTCTTGTATTGGCAGGCCCGACCAATTTCTCTAGTGTCAGCAAGCCCGACCAATTTCTCTTGTATTGGCAAGCCTGACCAATTTCTCTAGTGTCAGCAAGCCCAACCAATTTCTGTTGTTTGATATTATACTGGTGAAAGACGACATATCTTCAAAACAGGCCAATTCTGGATTCTTTTAATCAAAAGCTACCTTCAATTGGTCCAGTTGGGAAAACTAATTGAGGTCTTCAGATAACAGAAGACACTTGTTGTACATGAACGAAAAGACACTCTTCTGTGTGGTTACTCAGTCAGGAGTGAGATGTCTTTGATCTTGTGAACAGTGTTACATTTGCAGTGATGTACCTTACAGGGATTTTTGAAAAAAAACATTTTATAATTTGCAACTCCCTACCTGTCCATTGCTACATTTCAGATATGAACCTTTGCAATTTTCCCAAATTTAAAAGTGCCAATGAAATGGAGATTTCAGGCAGTGGATGAGATTAAGGAGAATGCAACAAGACAGCTGATGGCAATCCCAAAAGATGGATAAGGAATCTGTTTTGAAATGAATGGGGTGTCCATGATTTGCAAATAAAGAGTATAAAAATAAGAATGAAATACAAGCCAATAATAAATAATTGATAGTATTTTATTTAAGAAATTTGAAGGTTATATTGATACTAATCTGATTTCTGCATTTACTGATTCATGTTGGAAAAATGAAAAAATGGTCTCTTCCTTGCACCATTCCAGAGATTACATGATGACTCCTGCTATCTTTTATATCTACAAGAGTCAGATTAGACCAAAAAATGGAGTATTATTGTCATATTTCAGCTGGGTCGGCTCAATCCTCACCTTCCAGAGTTCAAAAGACTTTACTCTGCTTTTTGGGTTATAAATTATTTCCCACTCTACAACCACTTTCCCACAGTCGAAACATTATTAGCCTCCTACTACTTTCATGGCAAATGTTCAGGTGAGTTACATTCCTTAGTTCTACCAGTCAGTATGCCCCCACCAACTAAGGGGAAGCCTGATTGGGGTCCCCCCGCAGTGCTTTGTGACCCTTTGCTATCATAGCAATATTTTTTCTACCTATATTTATATACATTTCAAATTAAACTAAGTACAAATGGCTATAAAAGGATAAAAGATTTTGGGATTTTGAGGTCATTCTGGTTTGTTTTTCGTTCAAATCTGAATTTTTTTCCTCGTTATAAGTACTGAAAAAAACACTACATAAAATTCACTATTTTCTATCCATAATGTAGAATGTATTAAATAATTGTACTTTTTAATAAAAAAAATCTCAAGATGATGTTAAAAATTGCCACAAAAAATGTTGATTTTAGATAGAATGATCTATTATGATATGTCTCTAATTTGTATTTTGATACATTGTATTTATTTTCAATTTTTCTAATTGAATTGAACACCTATATTGCATGTGATCCATTATTGTACCTAGTTAGGTTAGAATAAAATTTGTATTTTATATGAATACTACCTTATAATGATGTAGAGTGGGGGGCCCCATATCAGTGCTTCTCAATTTTTTCAGCCCATAGACCATTTTTTTTCTTCAAAATGGACCACTCCTACATTTACTTTTAGGCTGTTCAATTTTCAAAATACTCACTGAAAATTCAAAGTAGTCTATTTACACTTTAAAATTTATTTTAGTAAACAAGGATAAACACAGGATATCTAAGTCAAATTTGATGATGTCATTCAGTCTTAGTCCATTCAACTAGTGACTACCTTGATCTTGATGTTTCTGACACAAGATATCAATTTTGGTGATGTCATTCAGCCTTAGTCCATTCAGCTTGTGACTACCTTGATTCTTGTGTTTCTGGCACAAGATATCAATTTTGGTGATGTCATTCAGTCTTAGTTCATTCAGCTTGTGACTATCTTGATCCTTGTGTTTCTGGCACAAGATATCAATTTTGATGATGTCATTCAGTCTTAGTCCATTCAGCTTGAGACTACCTTGATCCTTGTGTTTCTGACACAAGATATCAATTTTGATGATGTCATTCAGTCTTAATCTGATAGTTTCTCTGCTGCTGAGATCTAATTTATTTCTTTTTCTACTGAAACCATCCACAACAGCCAAAAATCCTATCCTAATCCATAGAGAATTTTGAAATTTTCAAATATAATGCACATGTGTATAATTAAACAAAATATATTTTTAATTCTTCAAAGTATGAACAATTTAGATACATTTTGTGAAATGCTACAATTTTTTATGGCTACGAATTCTTTGTGGCCACTAGAAATGCTATGTGGATCACATTGAGAATCACAGACATAGATTGTCAGGGAGGGATCATAAAGTCTGGTGGGGACCCACAAGACCCTTGCACTGGCCCTGCTACCAGTTCAGACATTCACAGCTAAGATTCACCATGCCATGTACATATATTCTACTCATTCTCATTTCCTTCATCTTCCACTATGTTCCACTCAAATTTTTCCCCAAGAACTGTTTCATTTGGAGACTCTGGAGAGGATGCTTGCTCGATCATTATGATCTTAATCTCTTCAAGTCTACGGTTAACCATTATCTGTCCTACATATCTTCCTACTATTCACTTCTAATTTCTACCACTTACATCACACTCCTTAAGCAACCTCATTCAGTAACCCTCTATCTTGAGTGGCTTTGGAGCCTTGCTGGGTGGACAATAGTATTTGTCCCAGTCCTCATAAATACATTGGACACTATTGTAATTGGGAGTAATATGCTAAGTAGTCCACCACTAGCAGTGGTTTACCTACTTCACGCTGTTGGCGAGTATTGTATTTTGTTGATGCTATAAAGATTACCATTTCATTTCCATCCTCCGTTTTGGTTATTCCTCATTCAGTAACCCTTTCTAGGTGAGAGTCAGTTATGTGCCATGCATGATACATGCTTAGGTGATCATGTATCTTTCGATACATGACTGACAAGGTAGATTTTTTTCCCGAAGTTGGCTGCCATTTCTTTCTTCAGTAGACCAGTTGTCATCCAAGGCTATAGAACCCAGTCTGTGTTGCTATTTACCCATAGCTAGGGGGAGGAGAAGAAGATTCATACTTTCCCCAAGGATACTGGCACGTAAGTGAATGTAATGGATTTGACACTCTCCTTAGTGTTTTTTTTCTTGTATTCCCTAATACTCAGTAACCCCTTGCATCTCAGTGGCTTGATCACCTTGCTTGTGGTGAAATGATTAAAATTATGACTAAAGTTATGCTGTTCATCATGACGTTCATGTCAAATAATTTATTCTGATTTCAGGAGATACATCTTAACTATTTTTAAAGAAAATTTATAAGTTATAAATTATTAGTATTCCTCAATCCAAGCCACCATCCTTTACTCCACTGTGCCTCTAGGTTAGAACAGTATTAAAATAAAAATTAACAAATCTTTATCGTTTTTCTTTACTTAAACTAATTCTGCATGAATCCATTGATATATGTAAGAATTTATAAAGAGATTTAAATAATAGAACGTTTCTGTACATTAAAAAATAACACATAATATCAAATTTTATTCTGACTAAATTGGATAATTATGTGTTCTTAATATAATGTGCCAAACAGAGGAGACATTGCTTTGTATGTAGGTGTAATGTAACATCCTCAGAGAATACAAAGGGATTTAAATCTCAATAACTTTGCGATATACAACATGACCATGTTAGAGTCATGCCTTCTATTCACTGCTCTTTTCAGTTCTCCTTCCTATTACGTGTGTGGTGACAACCCTCCCAGTCCCTGCCGCTTAATCTATCTAGAATGAGAACCCTAACTTACCGTATCTTTCCTCTTTCCTATTACGTGTGTGGTGACAACCCTCCCAGTCCCTGCTGCTTAATCTATCTAGAATGAGAACCATAACTTACCATATCTTTCCTCTTTCGTGTGTGGTGACAACCCTCCCAGCCCCTGCCGCTTAATCTATCTAGAATGAGAACCATAACTTACCGTATCTTTCCTATTACGTGTGTGGTGACAACCTCCCAGCCCCTGCCGCTTTAATCTATCTAGAATGAGAACCATAACTTACCGATCTTTCCTCTTTCCTATTACGTGTGGGTGACAACCCCTCCCAGTCCCTGCCGCTTAATCCTAGAATCCCTGCTCGCTTAATCTCCCATCCCTCTTAAGAATGAATGAGAACCATCTTAACTTCCCAGCCCCTGCCGCTTAATCTATCTAGAATGAGAACCATAACTTTCCGATCTTTCCTATTACGTGTGTGGTGACAACCCTCCCAGCCCCTGCCGCTTTTAATCTATCTAGAATGAGAACCATAACTTACCGTATCTTTCCTGTGGTGACTTTCCCCTAATTATCTAGAATGAGAACCATAACACCGTGATCTTTCCAGTTCCTGCCACTTAATCTATCTAGAATGAGAACCATAACTTCACCGTATCTTTCCTCTTTCCTATTACGTGTGTGGTGACAACCCTCCCAGTCCCTTGCTGCTTAATCTATCTAGAATGAGAACCATAACTTCACCAGATCTTTCCTCTTTCCTATTCGTGTGTGGTGACAACCCTCCCAGCCCCTGCCGCTTAATCTATCTAGAATGAGAACCATAACTTCACCAGATCTTTCCTCTTTTCCATTACGTGTGTGGTGACAACCTCCCAGCCCCTGCCGCTTAATCTATCTAGAATGAGAACCATAACACCGTATCTTTCCTCTTTCCTATTACGTGTGGTGACAACCTCCCAGTCCCTGCCACTTAATCTATCTAGAATGAGAACCATAACTTACCGTATCTTTCCTCTTTCCTATTACGTGTGGTGACAACCCTCCCAGTCCCTGCTGCTTAATCTATCTAGAATGAGAAATCTACCGTATCTTTCCTCTACCTCCCAATGCTTTTAATCTATCTAGAATGAGAACCATAACTCACCAGTATGTGTTTCCTCTTTCTATCTAGAATGAGAACCATAATTACGTATCTTCCTTTTTCCTATTGTGTGGTGACAACCTCCCAGTCCCTGCCGCTTAATCTATCTAGAATGAGAACCATAACTTAATCTTTCCTCTTTCCTATTACGTGTGTGGTGACAACCCTCCCAGTGTGCTTAATCTATCTAGAATGAGAACCATAACTTCATCAGATCTTTCCTCTTTCCTATTACGTGTGTGGTGACAACCTCCCAGTCCCGCTTTTAATCTATCTAGAATGAGAACCATAACTTCATCGTATCTTTCCTCTTTTCCTATTACGTGTGGTGACAACCTCCCAGTCCCTGCCGCTTAATCTATCTAGAATGAGAACCATAACTTCACCGTATCTTTCCTGACAACCCTTTCCTAATCTACGCAGAATGAGGTAACAACCCTCCCACGTGTGTGGTGACAACCCTCCCAGCCCTGCCGCTTAATCTATCTAGAATGAGAACCATAACTTACCGTATCTTTCCTCTTTCCTATTACGTGTGTGTGGTGACAGCCCTCCCAGTCCCTGCTGCTTAATCTATCTAGAATGAGAACCATAACTTACCGTATCTTTCCTCTTTATTGTGTGGTGACAACCCTTCCAGTCCCTGCCACTTAATCTATCTAGAATGAGAACCCTAACTTCATTATCTTTCCTCTTTCCTATTACGTGTGTGGTGACAACCTCCCAGTCCCCTGCTTAATCTATCTAGAATGAGAACCATAACTTAATCTATCTAGAATCCCAGAGATCTATCCATAACGTGTGGTGACAACCCTCCCAGTCCCCTGCCGCTTAATCTATTAGAATCCTATCTTTCCTATTGTGTGGTGACAACCCTCCCAGCCCCTGCCGCTTAATCTATCTAGAATGAGAACCTATCTAGAATGAGAACCCTCCCAGTCCCTGCCGCTTAATCTATCTAGAATGAGAACCATTTCCTCTCTTTCCTATTACGTGTGGTGACAACCTCCCAGTCCCTGCCGCTTAATCTATCTAGAATGAGAACCATAACTTACCGTATCTTTCCTCTTTCCTATTACGTGTGTGGTGACAACCCTCCCAGTCCCTGCCGCTTAATCTATCTAGAATGAGAACCATAACTCATCAGATCTTCCTATTACGTGTGGTGACAACCTCCCAGTCCCCTCTTTCTATCTAGAATGAGAACCATAATCACCGTATTTTCCTCTTTATTACGTGTGGTGACAACCTCCCAGTCCCTGCCGCTTAATCTATCTAGAATGAGAACCATAACTTACATCAGATCTTTCCTCTTTCCTATTACGTGTGTGGTGACAACCCTCCCAGTCCCTGCCGCTTAATCTATCTAGAATGAGAACCATAACTTACCGTATCTTTCCTATTACGTGTGTGGTGACAACCCTCCCAGTCCCTGCCGCTTAATCTATCTAGAATGAGAACCATAACTTACCGTATCTTTCCTCTTTCCTATTACGTGTGTGGTGACAACCCTCCCAGTCCCTGCCGCTTAATCTATCTAGAATGAGAACCATAACTTACCGTATCTTTCCTATTACGTGTGTGGTGACAACCCTCCCAGTCCCTGCCGCTTAATCTATCTAGAATGAGAACCATAACTTACCGTATCTTTCCTCTTTCCTATTACGTGTGTGGTGACAACCCTCCCAGTCCCTGCCGCTTAATCTATCTAGAATGAGAACCATAACTTACCGTATCTTTTCCTATTACGTGTGGTGACAACCCTCCCAGTCCCTCTTAATCTATCTAGAATGAGAACCATAACTTACCGTATCTTTCCTATTGTGTGTGGTGACAACCCTCCCAGTCCCTGCCGCTTAATCTATCTAGAATGAGAACCATAACTCACCAGATCTTTCTTTTCCTATTACGTGTGTGGTGACAACCTCCCAGTCCCTGCCGCTTAATCTATCTAGAATGAGAACCATAACTTACCGTATCTTTCCTCTTTCCTATTACGTGTGGTGACAACCCTCCCAGTCCCTGCCGCTTAATCTATCTAGAATGAGAACCATCTTTCCTCTTTCCTAACGTGTGTGGTGACAACACTTCCAGTCCCTGCCGCTTAATCTATCTAGAATGAGAACCTCAGATTTCCTCTTTCCTATTACGTGTGGTGACAACTCCTTCCAGTCGCTGCCGCTTAATCTATCTAGAATGAGAACCATAACTTACCCGTATTTTCCCTTTTCCTATTACGTGTGTGGTGACAACCCTCCCAGTCCCTGCCGCTTAATCTATCTAGAATGAGAACCATAACTCACTGTATCTTTCCTCTTTTCCTATTACGTGTGTGGTGACAACCCTCCCAGTCCCTGCCGCTTAATCTATCTAGAATGAGAACCATAACTTACCGTCTCTTTCCTCTTTTCCTATTACGTATGTGGTGACAACCTCCCAGTCCCTGCCGCTTTAATCTATCTAGAATGAGAACCATAACTTACTTATCTTTCCTCTTTCCTATTACGTGTGGTGACAACCTCCCAGTCCCTGCCGCTTAATCTATCTAGAATGAGAACCATAACTTACCATATCTTTCCTCTTTTCCTATTACGTGTGTGGTGACAACCCTCCCAGTCCCTGCCGCTTTTAATCTATCTAGAATGAGAACCATAACTTACCGTGATCTTTCCCTTTATTACATGTGTGTGGTGACAACCCTCCCAGTCCCTGCCGCTTAATCTATCTAGAATGAGAACCATAACTTACCGTATCTTTCCCTTTCCCACGTGTGTGGTGACAACCCTCCCAGTCCCTGCCGCTTAATCTATCTAGAATGAGAACCATAACTTATCTTTCCTTTTCCTATTACGTGTGGTGACAACCCTCCCAGTCCCTGCCGCTTAATCTATCTAGAATGAGAACCATAACCATAACTTTTCCTATTACGTGTGTGGTGACAATCCTCCCAGTTCCTCTATCTAGAATGAGAACCTATCAGATATCTTTCCGTGTGTGGTGACAACCCTCCCAGTCCCTGCCGCTTAATCTATCTAGAATGAGAACCATAACTTACTATCAGATCTTTCCTCTTTCCTATTACGTGTGTGGTGACAACCCTCCCAGTCCCTGCTGCTTAATCTATCTAGAATGAGAACCATAACTTTATCTTTCCTCTTTCCTATTACGTGTGCGGTGACAACCCTCCCAGTCCCTCTGCTTTCCTATCTAGAATGAGAACCAATATCGTTTCTTTCCTCTTTCCTATTACGTGCGGTGACAACCCTCCCAGTGCCTGCTGCTTAATCTATCTCGAATGAGAACCATAACTTACCATATCTTTCCTCTTTCCTATTATGTGTGTGGTGACAACCCTCCCAGTCCCTGCCGCTTAATCTATCTCGAATGAGAACCATAACTTACCATATCTTTCCTCCTTTAACTCAGAAATACCATTTATAAATTCAGCCAATCTAACATTGAATAATCATTGATTGATTTGTTTAACAGCATATCACCTCCTTATGGGTCAATTAATGCCAATATTTTGAGGTAGCTATATGATAGTCTCTTTGATTTAATTGGCTGTTCTAAAGGTAAGACTGCATTCCTCCAATTTAGGAGTGGAAGCATGCTGCTAAAGAGCAGAGGAATGCCTATATTGGCCAAACATGGGCTGCAACATCAGAGCATACATTGTAAAATGTCCAACATGTCGGAAATATAAAGTGGCAAACTCTGCAGAGCCTCTAATGATTCATGAACTTCCTGAGAGACTCTGGGCAAAATTTGGAGTGGACCTATTCTTATTTGAGGGCAGAGATTATCTATGGACAGTGGAGTATCTAAACAATTTCTGGGATGCCAGTATGAACACCAAGGTAGTGATCATCAAATTGAAGCACCATTTTGCAAGATAAGGTATCCCAGACCAAGTTGCCATTGACAATGGGCCTCAATTTTGGAGCCTGGAGTTTGATGTTTTTCCAAGGAAGTGGTGTTTTATACACATGCCCATTAGCCCTTACAACAGCAAAGCTAATGACAAAGTTGAATTGACGGTAAAGATGGTGAAGAATCATTTCAAGAAAGCCAAAGCCATGCAGGAGGTTCCATATTTAGCAATGTTGTGGATCACTGAAACACACCCACAAAAGGTTTTCTGTCATTGGCACAGAAACTTATGTGAAGGAGAGAAAAACTCTTCTACCAACCACAAATGATCTGCTAAAACCGGAAATACCCAGAAGCATAGAACAGATATTGACTGAAGAAGGTAGAGAGCGAGACATCTACTTCAATCAGAAAGGTCTTATCCTTACCACCTCTACCTCCAGAGGTGGTTGTGTGGGTGGAAATTGCATGCAAGCAGTAAGGAATAGGAATAGTGACTGAGCAACTGGATACAAGGTCATACCACATCAACATCGATGGGGAGCTGCACCGATGAAATGAGATCAACCTGATGGAAACAGCAGAGGCACCTCCCAAGTCCACGTGTGGGGATGCAGCTATATCCAGTCGAAGGTGATCACCTAGGCACTACTTCATAAAACCAGTCCAAAGGACCAAATTCAACACCTCCACCAGCTATAAACCCACACAATGGGAGAACCCCAAAGACAATTCATCAGAATTGCTCAGTGAAGAAAATTGCATTCTGGGAGAAGAGTCAGAACACCAGCAAGACTAAGGGACTAGTAAAGAAAAAGAAAGTTGAGTGAAGGGGCAGAATAAACCCCATTAGGCAAGAGGGCAGTCTACAAAGTGAATGCTTTGGTTGCTCATCTCTTGCTCATTCCTATTTGAAAAATACCGACTTTTTCCAAAGTGGGTAAGATGTTTCATGGGGCACCGGTCACATGATTGATGTAAGGTTGTGGACAGTTCAACTTACAGCAAAAAATTTAAAAGAGCATATTAATCTCACCACAAAGGATTGCGACAAAACATTATGATTTTGATATTTGAATACTTTGTTACATTTCGGTCATTATATAACAGACTTCAGGATGATTTTAAGTTACTCAGTGTGAGAATATTATCAGCTTTAACAGAAGTTTCAAAATTAGATGACTAATTTTCTTGGTAATATTTTAGTGGAATCTCTGAAAATCAGAAAAAAAGTGCATTGTTTTAGTTGATGAAGTGTATGCCAAGGTTGCTCTGCAATATCATGGAGGAAACTTATTTTGCTTGGATGAAAATTCTGAGGAATTAGCAAAAAACATTATTGGGCATCATGGTAAAATGTTTAAATGGTGGACCAAAAATTTTATTCAAAATGATTAGAGGCAACTTTTTTTACATGAAAAAAATTATATATTGTTGATATTAGGTTGGTGCAAAAATAATGACGTAATAATGTCGGTTTTTGACCTTATAATTACGTCAAAAAACGACATTATTACGTCATTATTTTTGCACCAACCTAATACAATCAAAGAGTCAAGTAATTGCAATCGTATGCGACAATAAGAGGACCCGTCAATCTTTTTTTTCCAAAAATTTGACGTTTTTAATAAGCCTTGGATAACTAAGAATGGCTTGTACTTACTTTTTGCTTATGTCCACCTTTTTAAAAATATTCAGAATAATTGGATTACTTAACCTGCTTCAGAATTACTGTTTTATTCTGAAGGCAAAAAATGACAACAAAATGGAAAATTGTAAAAGGTCTTTTTCAGTATGAAAAAATTCAATTTGTTAAGCTGCTGAAACTAACTGATGTAGCAGTTTACCCAAAACCTGTTGAACAACAAAATGTTTCCCATTGTTTAAAAGTTTTTTGTGATCAAACTGTAGCTGCTATGAAAACACACCTATTATTAAATGGGCAGGATACTGCAGAAACAGTTAATTTCATTGAAAAAGTTAACATTTCAAAAAACTGTTTATGTTGACAAAATATATGGTTATACTAAGAAAAACGGTCCACTGAAAAAAGTGATATCAGATTTAAACGATGAATATTTATTTATTTCTAATTTTGGGAAACTGACAAAAAGAATGGGAAGAAATCAAGGAGAAAGAATGAAATTATTAACAAAAGATACTAATTTAGCCATTGAATATATATGCAATGGCTTAATTGATGTTTGTAGATATTTGCTTAATGGGTTTCATTTTGTTATGCTTGGTGAATTAACCACAGACTATTTAGAAAATTAATTTAGAAAATTAGGACAAAGTTCTGGAGGTGTATATTTTATAAGGGTTCAAAATGTTATTGAAAAATTTCATACAGAAAAAAACTAAAACTACTTAAAGTTTGAAGTCAAAGAATACAACTTTGATCCAAGCTATAATTTCTCAAAATGTGGACATTCGCTGGATGAAACTGGATGCCAAACATTTGATAACTTACCAGACCTTGAAACTAGGATCCCTAAAGATATTAAAATGTTACTTTTGTATAAAGCAGGGTAAGTTATAAAAAAAGATTGTTTCATAGAAGAGGAAATATTTAATATTGGTTTTTGTTTTCAAGAATATGAAAAGAAATAGATTGTGGTAATTTAAAAATTCCACTGGAAACCAGAGATAATGTATTTTTTTTATTTTCAATTTTCCCTCTTTTTACATATATTTAATTGGTTCACTCCCCAAATTATCATGTTAATAATTTTGTGTTCTTGTTAATGCAAATTGATTTTAATTTTTAAAATTGTGTACTGGTAATATCTATTATTGTATCATAGCAAAATAAGTATTTTCATTTTCTGTGAAATAAATTGTACATGTAACAAAATCACAAATTTTGTAATGATTATCAAAATTATTTCAGACTTTGTTGATACACGATTTTGTAAATTGCTGAAATTGCTTTTTGATTGTATTATATAATTATATATTCTGCAATAAATTAACATAAACAAATTAACTCATTATTTTTGCAATATTATCTAAAAATGTCTAATTTATGGTGATTAAAGTGATCTTAGTACATTTAGTTATTTTATGGTATTTTTGTTTTTTCTTTGTACATTTGCATTTATGTAAATAAGTCAATAATTGTAAGATGCTTCCTAATAGTATATATAGTTGCTAATTAATTACTGGAGAATACTAACAAGACCCTTGATAAAAATGTTCTCACTAATGGTTATTTTATTGTAATTTAGGTCTCCATATGTCTGCCTCCAGTTGTGGATGCCAGTCACACCTGCCAGGACTGGGCTGAATTTAAAAATGAGTTTTGTCATTTATCCTCAGTTAAATCCAGAATGTTTTATTTTTAACACTTTAATTTTACTTTTAATTCCAAGTTAACAAATTAAATTTAATATTCTTAATAAGCAAAATACTTTGGTGTATATTAAAACTGAATTTGAACTGATTAAAATCATTTTTTCTCCTTATCACTAAAATCTATAAATGTGTTCATGTTGTCAGATGTGTCAATACAAAGTAATTCTTTTCATTTGAAAAATCTTTCA